GAGAATCACAAAATCACATGTGCTTTTTTAACCCTCTTCTATTGAAAAACACCATCTTCATCTCATTTTCATTATATTCATTCATAACAGCAAGATTTACAAGCTGTACTTGAATAATCAGTGTTTCAACTTGAAATTCTGCCCAGTAATCTTAGTTCTTGATGTAGTGATTTACCAGATGGTATCTAGTATGTTCATGAAATAGTATAACCTCATTTATTCCTATAGAACCCCTTTTATGTTTGGACAAGTCTTTCTTCATTACCCATATCTGCAAAGGCTACTATTTCATTCATTGTAACTGAATCTTCTTATGTCTTTTTCTATGTCAAGTTGGTAATTCACCGACTAAAAATTAGTTTTATCTAAATAATACTAAATTCTACTTAATATACCTAAAGATATTATGAGGCCACAAATGAAGAGCATGTTTTTCTTCAATTATTAAATAAAGGATAGATTCCTCCATATTTAAGTAGAGAAACCTAAAAAAACTATGCAATTAAAATTATTTTTGAGATACTCTCTGAACATATACATATATTAGTGAGGATATAGATTAAACCGCTGTATAAGGAGATCCCAAAACATAGTGCATTAAGATCACAATTGATTTCTCTTTCATGAAACAAGCATAAGAGTACCTTTTGGTACAGGGAGGTTATTTCAATAGTTACCAATTTCCATTTAATAGGAAGAGAGAAAGGAAAGAGGCAGAGTATGTCACTTCTACTCATTCCATCTTCCAGGACTTACCCAGCTACAAGAAAACATGGGAAATGGAACCTCCATCTCAGCACGTGTTCTACTGAAACCAAAGGCTTCTATTACTAATACAAAGAAGAGAAGAATGGATAGGGGACAATTATCAGTTGCTGTACCATTTGCATCCACCCTGGAATCTAAAGAAACCTAGAATACAAACTAACTATGTTGTTCAAATTTTGATTTTGAGAATATTTATTTTCATTATGCATCTTTTAACTCTTCAGAAGTTTAAAATCTGTATTTATTTGATCAAAAATATTATCTTCCTTCATATATACTTATTTTATTTTTAGTTGTAGTTGGACACAATACCTTTATTTTATTTATTTATTTATTTTTATGTGGTGCTGAGGATCAAATCCAGCACCTTACATGTACTAGGTGAGCGCTCTACTGCTGAGCCACAACCCCAGCTCCCATATATACTTTTATCTGCTAGCAAGAGCAAGTGATAGATTTTCATGCTGTACTCTCAACTCTGTCTTTCAGCATTGACTTGGGTCTTCCCTGAACACAATAATTCAACACAAAGTCCAGAAAGATCATATGATTGTCAATGTTATTCTCTTATTTGATTGAATGGATCCCAGCAGATTCCCTATGGGCTTTTTTGAGAATCAAATGAAAATCATGTTTTCTCTACTCCTTATATATCAACAGTCTTGTGAATAATTTTAGGAGCTGTGTGATACCTTCTCCCATGAGGCACAATTTTAAAAGACCTTAGCTCTATGTAGAGTATTCCCCCCATCTGCGCAGCAACCTGGGAGTAGATAGATTCAATCATCCATCTTTGTCTCCAGGACCCATCATTGGAATTCTGGCCTAAAGTAAAACAGCAAGCACAGGACCACTGTGCGATACATGTTAGTTTCCTGTTATTTCAAGGCTCCTCTGTTCCTTGTCAGAATCTCTTGGTATTCGTGTGATGCTTCTGTCCTCATCAACATACATCAAACCCTTCACCATGGAAGCTGACTTGGCTGTGGCATTAATGCTGCTCCTCCTTTTGACATGATATTCTGAATATGAAGACACTTTCTTCCTAGATTCCTTTGTAACTAATGACTGGGCACTTAGCATAGGCTCTGCTTTGAACTGGGACTTGAGAACAGGTAATACAATAAAGCAAGCTCTATGGAGAAGGGTCTCGGCAGCCGAAACAATGGGGCAGTGAGGTGTCTAGGGAAATCAGCAGGAGTGGTATTACTGATAGAATCTAGAATACCAATGGGATCATCAGTAAGCCACAGTGTCTAGTACTTCATCGAGTATCAATGTCTTCTGGTCTGAATGAGGTCTGCCGCACATGTTTACCAGGTTTACTGATTTCTTCAGCATAAGCTTACTTTTCTTAGAATTTCTTCAACATTGCAATGGCATTTTTTAAAAATATTCAATAACAGTTTTATCATTCTAATATGTCTTTGTAGATTAAAAAAAGTAAGAATGAATTTCTCCATTAACTCAAAATAACCAGACTAGAAAAACAAGCTATTAGAAAGTGACTAAGAGGTTCTTGGGGTTTTTAAGTGTTGAGAGCAAGCAGATAATATACCATTTCCCTTAGCTATATTTGAAGTAGATGAGGCCCTATTCATGAATGTTAATTACAGTGCTTAAAATATTAAGTGGTTATCATCAAACGGAAAGGAAACTTAGGCTGCCATTTCTTGTACTTTGAACTAGGATCATTAATGGAACTTTTCTGTTTCATTTGCCTGTCTTTATTTTTTACAAATTTTTTTTAAAGTGTAGAGAGTTTATAAATTTATCTCAAAAACACTTTGTGCTTTGTATGATATATTACTTTTGAAAACCTGGCACCAGCAAAGCACTAAACAAAAATGAAGGTTATTTTTCTTCTTCTGGAATTCACAGGCCTTCCCACTGGATCCCAACGCACCTTTGTAATTGCTTCTCTTATAATATTCTCCCAAAGCTTCAGTGAATTCTTATTTTTTATCATAATGCCAAAAATGATTCTGTACACTCACTTCTGTGTACTCTCTGCTTAGAACATTTTTCTCCCTGTTTTCTTATTCAGTCCCTGAGATCTACCTCAGTCATCCCAACACCTCTCCTACTCCATAAAAAAAGTTAACTACTTTTTTTTCTTGCAGAACCTATAGAACATTAAGTAGGGGTATATCAACACACGTAACTTTCATAGTTTGTACATTTTTGTCTCTGTTATAGATGATGACTTTCTTAAGAGAAGAGATAATATCTCATCATCCCTGTATTTGCCCAGTTCCTGGCTCATAAGACATGCTCCAGAAATGGTTGAATAAATAAGAGTAAGAGCGAACTTTACTATCTCACTGGAGAATCAAGAGGAATAAATTAATTAATATTGTCATCTTGAAACCAAATTTTAAGATATACATAGATATGTAAAATCACCTGGAGAAAGCAAACTGGCTCACAGGCCAGCAGGATTTCATTGGAAACCAACTTAACTATATGCCTATTTAAAGAAAGAATGAGCCATTTAAAGAAGAGCAGATTAGCCCTAATACATTTAGAAAATAATGCTACTGGAGTAAGAGTTGGCTGATCGTGGCACTTGAGAGCACCTTCGGGGAGAGGGAGTAGGACTTTCAGTTTTCCAGTTCCATCTGTAGGAGTTCTCATGGAGCCTCATCAACTTATTTAAGTCCAATACTATTACATAATGCATGAACTTCTTCTGTTCTCATTTATGCTCACCATATAGGCTTTCATTCTTATTCTCTCCCATTATTATTCTTCCTTTTAAAAGTCCTGCGAGTTGACTTAGTTAAGGAGTTACAGGACCATACCTAGGAACCCTGGCTAACTTAATGAATGAGTTAATGAGTCTGGGATCATTAGGCATTTTGGTTGCAAAGAACAAAGATTCACTCAGGTTTCCTCAAGACAGCTGGGCATATTAAGAGGACACAGGTGGCACTCCAGGAAAAGGAACATCATAGAAATCTGGGAAGGCCTGGAGGCAATACGAGAGTCATAATCCAACCATACAAGTAAGAAGATTATCAGTTTGCCCCTCAGCATCAGGAGTTCAATAATTTTCATTTTGTTCTTCACATGAATAAGATATAGCCTGGTATCTATATCTGCCTTTTTGTGTATTTCTTTCTTTTTTTCTGACCACTTTCTGACCTCTCTGTCCCTAAATATTCAAATCTACAGAGAGTAAAAGTTAGATTAGACCCCAAACAATCATCATTCATGTTGAAGCAACATCCTCCTTGGAGGCTGGGGATCACACTTAACCAGTTTCCCTGGGGTCAGGTGCTTATCCCATCCAGTTAGCTATGGTGACATGGGGCATTTGAATGGTTAGAAGGCCTAGTCACCTATGCCTCCAGGATCCAAGCATGTGGCAGTTCTCCTCAGAAAGAGTTGTGGGTCAGCAGGAACCTGTAGTTTAATGAAGCTAGATAATTAACATAAAGAGCCATTGAACCCAAATGTAAGGTACTTGGGTAGGCTCCATCATAATCTCCTGGGAGCCTTTTAAAAATACAGAACTCTGGGTCTCACTTCATATCTACTAAATTAAAATCTCAAAAGGGGAGGATACACACACACACACATATACATATATACACACATTTTTATTTTTTAAATCTCCTCAAGGGAATGAAGCTTTGACTTTGTGAGGGAGCCGTGTAAAAGAATAGAAGGGTCAGAAGGAAGGTGGAAAGTCGTTGATTTCCTTAACAGACATGCAGGAGAATTCTGGGGTGCTCCAGTGGAAGCACACACACATTGGTGTTTGGGTAAAGACACATTGGAAATGAAGGGATGAGGTAAATCATTTCCTTCATAGGAATTAAAATATAAGAAATATGTTTCCCTGTAGCTTCCAGAGTGTACACAAATGAGAGTCTGAGACTAACTAGAACTAATGTGAAACATCAGGAGCTGTTGGTGCGGATTCCAACAAAATCAAGAGCTTGCTTCATTTTTTTTCCACACAACATCTACATTTAGTGGAAATATCACAAGCAACATGTAATTTTATCAAAATGCTACAAAAAAAACATTTCAAAGAATTTAAGAAAATCTTTCATTTTAAGAGAGAAAACTGATAAACTATTCTGCAATGTTATGTTTTAAAGAAACAGTTCTTTACCATAAATACATCCTGATAACAGACACTACTATAACAAAAAATGCATATATTTCTTTTGGTTATTATTAACTTTATTATAAAACAAATATTTTATGTTGAGGTAACATTTCAAATGGTATTTGACAAAAAAAATCAATTGCATCCTATACACAGAATTTTACAACACATTTAAAGAACTCAGAAGACAATTTTTTTTAGCATTGCACATAAACTGATTTTAGGGGAAAAAATAAAGCTAAAATTCTCTATGTAAAGATGGATTTCGTTCCCCATTTTCTCCTGCCCAATCCTCCACACCATCACCCTGAAGGCAGTCATGGAAGCCCCACAAAATCATTGCATAGGAAACCTTAGTCAGAAAAAAAAAAGTGTTCTGTTTCCCAAAACACCCCACTGTGCCATCATTTCAAAGTGCTTTCACAAAGTAAATATTTAATTGCTTAAGAATTAGTGTTTAACCCCAAAATAGAATTCTTTTGTCCTCAATAGAGAAATGCTATGCAACCCTCCAACTCCACTGGCTTTTCCACTGAAAAGCTCATTAATTTTCTGAGGCAAACTTAGTCTCCCCTTCTGCACTCCATAAATCTCATTTCTACCTCTGCTAGGACATTTACCAGGTACATTGTTCCAATTCTTGTTATTCTCTTCTAACCATATTTTATCCCACTAACTCTTGAGCTTTATGTGTCTCTCTATAAGCTCCTCAGGAGCAAGAAACAAATCTGAAGCTTCCTTACAACCCCCAGCACCTAGCACAATGCCTGGGCCATAACAGGACCTCCATAACTGTCTGTCTGGTTAATGAGTTGGGAATTATTTCACTGTGAGTTATAAGGCACATCTTTCCTTACTTCTGATCTCATTGAGTGTACTTCGCTATCATTCCACTTATTTAAATTTCTATGGAATGGTGACACCCTAGAAACCAGTGTAATGTCCAACAATTCCTTTCAGAAAGAAATGGCCTCTGGTTATCTTTCTGATCAAAATATCAATAAATTACAGCTGTAATGGCTTCCCTAGTCTAAAGCCCCCACAAGTCCTTTCTGTGAGAGCCACTTCTTAGGAAAGTGGATGCTAGTAGCCATCTTGGCAGTCATTGTCGTCTTGGTCCCCGATGGGTTTGTTGTGATAAGCATCAACTGTTAATTTTCTGCTGTCCACTTCCATGTTTTTGGGCTGGCCATCCTCCTCACTGCTTGAGGTGCTCTCAGTGGAGTTGCTGTCTTCTTTTGATCTGCTGCTGTCCTGAGAATCACTGTCAGGCTCCTCCTCAGACTGGCTGTCCTGCTCGGACCGGCTCTCATCACTCTGGCTCTCTGCTGAGGTGCTCTGAGACTGGAGGCCCTCCTGGCTGGAACTGTTCTCGTCCTCGGTGGACTCTGGGCTTTCCTCTGAGAGTTTCAGGCTCTCATTGGACTCGCTGTCAGCTTGCTCCTCTCTGGATTCGCTCTCTGAACTGGAGAAGGTATTCAGGCTGTCCTCCTGGCTGGAGTCACTGTCTTTCTGGTCGCCTGCACGACTGACATTATCTGGGTTGTCGCCCCTGGACTCACTCACCACCTGTTCCTCAGACTCACTACTGCTTTCTTGAGAGGCCAAGTCAACCTCCTGGCTGGACTCACTGCTGGGGTCCTGTGCATTTTCACTGTCTTCCTGAGACCGACTCTCCTTGCTGTCCTCTTGAGACTCACTCTTGCTATCTTCCCTGGATTGGCCGAGGTCAGCTTCTTTAGAGTTGGAGTCACTCTTGACTTCTTCCATTGTGTAGCCACCATTGAGCTCACCTCCGCCATCTTCTTCAGAAATCCGGGACTTTCTGAAAAACTTCCTACTGGAATACTCCACTAATTGACTCTCACCAGAATCCTGAGCGCTTACCTGCTCATTGTCCCTTTTTGATTCTTTTGATTTGACACCAGCACTGCTCATTCTGGAGTTGCCCCTATCTCTCCTAGTGCTGTCAGGGTCATCACTCTGCATTCCCTCATCGTCAAACTCAGAGCCATCCCCATGGCTACTCTCCCCCTCACTGCCACCTCCCACCCAGTCCTCCTCACTCTCACTCTCCTGAGTAAAGTCACGTCCCTCAGCCCTGCTGCCTACATCATCTTCGTGGTCAAGGTCCCTGCTGTCACTGGTGGTGTCCTGGGCACTGTCTTCTGGTGAGGTGCTATCTTCACTGGATCGTGTGGCATCAGCAGAATCATCACCATCAGCTCTGGAGATTCCACCTCCTGTTCTCTCCTCAGGCCACGGGCCATTGTCCTCATCAGCAAAGGTGTCATCTCCACTATCATCTTCATCATCATCTTTATCCTCTTCTTTTCCTGTACTTCTAGAGAGGCCACCAGCTGGTCTATAAACATACTGACGATCATCAGAGCCCAGGTCATCCTCCAGCTCAGCACTGTCACTGGGGTCCACATTTGCCTGGATTTGGAGTTAACAAACAGGGTCACTCCAGGACCTGATAAGGAGGGAGTTATCTAGTGTTTATCTGGGCTTTTTCTGCTTCCTTCCTTCTCTTCTAACCTACGATCAATTTAAACATCTCGACAGAGCTCAAATAAGAAGGAAAAGGAATTGAAACTCAAGTTCTCCCATTTTGTACAGGTGGCCCCTACTCAATGCTGCAAAGTTTTTTCTCAAAAATCTTTCTGGAAATCACATTTATGGAACTTAAATCATATTGTAAATATGATTTCTTAAACAAAACTCAGATATTTTTTTTCTTTTTTGCAGTGCTGAGAATCAAACCCAGGGTCTTGTTTGTGCTAGGCAAGTGCTCTGCAGCTGCACTTTAGGCCCCTCAGAAATCTTTTTGTACATCAAGGAGTTAGTTTATAATACCCATCAAATTGTGTAGTTTCAAGTGGAATTTTTAAAAATATTCAGTTAACTTAAAATGACCCATTTACTTTCTGATGAAACTTTAAGTACAAATAAAAATAAAATATCATAGTGAGATGTATAAATGTCTCACCCAAGTCATGTTCCTATTTCATGAGCACAGAGAGAGAGTTGCTTATGAAGTCTCAGAAGGCAAAACTAACTAGTGTGGCTCTCAAGGCAGCTGGATTCTAAGTGTGAGGTCAGAGAGATTGTCACATTTAAAAAAGCAACTACATGCTCTGCACAGATAAGAGAGCACAGTGGGTCTTCATACATTATGCCCTGGAAAAATCTGGCTCTCATTACAACAAAGCATACTTGCCAAAATTGTTTTCCTTCCTTCCTTCCTTTCTTTCTTTCACCACATGTTCCCACTGATCAGTGTCTGGGTTCCCATCTGGAGTACATGATGTTACCGTCTCTTCCCAGCACACGAATTCTGCACTGGTATGGTGGAAATGTGCGGGTTGAGCCCACCCTACCTCCTTAAGCATCATCATACCCTTCTCAAGCAGGAGTTGTCACTCTTGCTTGAGAATTTTAAGGTGATAAATCACAAAATCTTCAGGAAAAAGCATTTCCCCAACTCTATGCTTTTAACTTCTAGAATGTTCTTCTGACAAGCCATTAGTAATTAGGGTTAAACAGTCTGATAATTCATCTTTTAACACTGGCTGAGTGTAGAATGCAACGTGGGTGAAAAGTTTCACAGAGAAAAAACATTGCTGGAATCTCTGGACCTCCCTACAGGGTTGAGTTTGGTCATGGTGATAGGACAGGGTTGGGGGTGTAGCTCAGTGGCTGAGTGCTTGCCTAGCATATGTGCAGCCCTGGGCTAAACCCCTAGCAATACAAAAATAAATATATGAAGAAGTAAAAAGATAGAACCGCTTAAAAAGTAATAACATTTAGTCTCAGAAAAAAATAAAATTTAAGAAGTAGATTTCTTAATAAAGATATATAAGCTAAGACTGCTTTTCTTATCCCCAGGACCAAAGATGAGACTATCAAAGTCACTGCCAAAACAGCTCTTTTCAAGCTCCTGCCCCACAGCTTTCCTCTACTCCCCCCTGCTCTCCTCAACTGTGCTCTTGACATGACAGAGTGCTCCAGGCCAGTGGGCACCTCATTTTAGCCAGAATAGTTTTCCTTTCCTTTCCTGAACTGCTCTATTTTTGCAATATTTCAGATTACTGAGTGAGCCCGTGCTGTCTAGCAGACGTAATAACCATTGGCATGTGCTCACAGGTACGTGGTTATTTTTTTAACTAGGAGGGACATTTAGGGCCACAATGTCTCAGATGGTAAAAATGGAATGAACAGCATGTCCACACCTGAATTCTCCCCACTCATTTTTCCCTTCTTATTTTATGGGACTATTTAGCCAGCATAGCCCAATGGTTAGGAAATATTATATTTAGAACTGTTGCCAGGTAACTTAATCTACCATCATTTCCTTCAATTTCTAAGTAGCTAGAAAAGTTAAGCAAGGCCTTCTTAATTACCTGTTCCTCTGAGCTAACTTTACTTTCTTCTGATGACTCACTGTTCTCCTGAAAGGGAAAATAAACATTTATTTTCCTTTTAGTAATTCCTCAGGAAAGGAAAAAATATGATCCACATCAATTGCTTCAAGTTTGTATTTACTACTTTCAAAATGGTAAAAGGCAATGAAAAGAGTGTTAAAGTTACTTCATGACATGTTTATGACAAAAATAAAGAGTTACCGTGGGTGGTGTTGGTGACTGAGCCAAATGACCCTGGGGGAAAAAAAAGAAAGGAATACAAATTACTCTTTCATAAGTGTATTACATCACTGCAAATATTTGGAATAATTTTAGGTGATTTTTTTACGTTTTCTGGTACATATTTTGCAACTTACATAAGTAATAATGAAGTTTTATGGGAAAATAAAGGTAAAATGAAAAGTACTAAAAAACCTAGAATATTTTTTGTATATCTGATACTTTGCTTACAAATATATAGACAGGTATGTATGCATATATGTATATGTGTGTGTATAAATAATATACATGTATATTATATATATAGAGATAGATAGATATAGATAGATATACATATATATGTATACTTGCTTTGAAGTTCATACAACTTAGAGGTAATAAAACTAGGATAATAATGTTATAGCCCAGAATCCAAATTTTTAGCCTCAGTGAACTCATTGGTTTGAGTTTCTATTCTCCAGCCAATCATCCTGGTGTTAGCAGTGAAAGTCATATATTCTAGGAGACCCGTAAGACCCACATAAGCTGGAGTGGTCTGTTACTCCGTGTGAAGGTGGGCAATTCAATATACCTATCAGTTTCTTATTCATAAGTTAAGAAAATTAACACCCTCTGTGCTTCACCTATAAGGCCGGTGTGAGGATGGGATTGGCTAATGCCTTCAGAAGCATCTTGAGGACTAGTCAATGTAATGTAAAGAAATAATACATTTTGAGAACATCCACCTTATCAAATTCAATACACAAAATTGAACTGATAAAACCATTATATCTTTCTTGAGTCACTGAAGAGCACTGATATTAAAATTGAATGCCAAATATGTATTCATAGTTGCAATTTATTTCACTTTCCTTAGTCTTGTGAGAACTATAAGAATGTCTGAGCAATAGTATAACACAAAGATAAAGGGAAAGATCAGCAGAGTAGAAGGAGACCAAGAGGCAGAGAGAAGGGATAGGTAAGGGAAGCAATGAAGAATGAATTCTTAAAAATCATATTATGTGTTTATATAAACATATCACAGGGAATTTCACCTTTATGCATAAGTAAAAATATCCAAAATACAAAAAAAAATAGATGAATGAAAGGAAATCTAATAGAGAGGAGGAGGAGAATGAGAGAGGGGAAGGACAGGAGAGAAAAGGGTGAATCAGTCAAATTCCATACATGAATGAGTTTGTCAGGATGAACACAATTCTAGTGTATAACTATAAAGCTCTAACAAAAAAATAACATTAAAAAAGAATGTCTGAGGGCTGGGGTTGTGGCTCAGTGGTAGAATGCTCCCCTAGCATGCATAAGGCACTGGGTTCCATCCTCAGCACCACATAAATGTAAAATAAAGATATTGTGTTCACCTAAAACTAAAAAATAAATATTAAAAAAGAATGCCTGAGCAACTTCTGTCCCACTCCCAGCCCCCCATACCCCCTTTCCCCTTTCTCCTTTCCCTTGAGCCGGACAAGGTTCTGAGTGGCAACCCAAGGCACCAAGTAGAGCAAGGGGGTGTTGCTATTGTGTGTCTTCAACATGCCTCTCAGCAGTGCCAGGCTGGGGATGTCTCAGAGAAAGAAGCTGTAATCATTTGCCTTTTCTATGTGATACTGCAGGCTGGCACAATGGCGAACTCCACGCCAGTCAGTTATCATTTAGAATTAATGGGTGGAAGAAAACAAGACATGGATATTTTTCTCATGCCAAGGCTAGACTTGAGAATTAGGCATGCTTGTGAGTCTCTGGTTAAATGATAAATGCTTATAAATTAACTAGCCTATTGACTTCTCCCATGGAAGTTCATAATATACCCTGCAATGTCTATACTAGCCCAAGGCAGGGGCAGGACCCCACATCAGGACTCTGACGTTATTTGGCCATCACCAAAAGCACTGGCCCAAGTTGTGTCATAAGCAAAAGCCAGTAAGAAACAAAGTCGTGGATAAAATGCTCTGTGTTAGCATAAGATTTTAACTCTTAGTTCCAGTGTCAGTCTTGAGAATTTAGAGATATCCTAGGTCTATCTGACCCACTTCCTAAAAGCGACATGTCACCCTGGTTAAGAATTGATTCTGGAGCCAAGTGACATAAATTCAGTATGGCTCTAATACTTATTAGCCACATAACATAGACTGACTATATTACTCTCTGTGCCTCAGTTGTCTCATCTGTAAAATGGAAATAAAATATGATGTCTAATCCATTGGCTTGTTGGAAAGGTAAGAAGTTCAAAACATATAAAATCCTCAGAAACATGCCTGGCAATGATTCTTGTGTTACCAATTACTGGGTTATGAAGAGTTCAACATCAGTAAGCATCACCTTCATTCCAAACACTCTAGTGTCCTCTCATTCTTTCTTCTTTTCTTACCTCACTGGACTTGACTTCCTGTCTACTAGACATCTCCTATTTAAACAGATTTCAAATCCTAATCTCTCACGGACTATCTTGTTTCACTGTTTATTCACCCCCTTGCACTACTCCACACATCTACTATAAGAAAAAAACTAAAAGAAAAAGATGTTCCTCACCAAATTACACTATTAAGTTGGAATTGAAGTATTATTTTCTCATATGAACTAAAAATTGCATATCTTACTGCCTATATCTTAGGCTATTAAAAGGGTCATAACACACTAGCAATTTCAGCATCTGCAATGAACTCATCGGGTCATTCTAATCATATATTTAAATTGAAATATTTTAAAAACTAATATCTATACTCACCTTCCATTCTTCAGAGCTCTCAGTTTCAGTATTTTGATATCTGGCTACCTAGAAAAAAATAAGATTAATGGTTAAACCATAGAGAAACTTCCAAGAGGGCCGAGAGTATCACTCAATAGCCAAGCACTTGCCTACTTTGTATAAGACCCTGGGTTCAATCCCCTGCACCAAAAAAATAAACAGTGAGAAACTTCAAAGGCAGCAGTTAACACTCTATATACTTAGGAGCAGTGGTAGTCAAATTTTACCCTGCATCAGATCACCTAGGTGTCTTGTTAAAAGACAGATGGCTGAGTCCCATTCCTATTATGTCTAAATTAGTAGGTAAAAAGTAGGACCTCAAAATTTGCTAATAGACAAATTAAGTGCTAATAGATCCTGACCCTTTAGGTATGGGTGACAATTTAAGAACCACTGCTCATTGTGGGAAATTAGTTATTGGTAATTAGTATCTATTGGATTAACTAAACAGAATAAGAAATTTCTTGGATATTACAAAGTTTTCTAAGAAATTACTATTATCATCTGACTGGAATATACTCAGTTACTTGGGCTCATGGCCAATGAAAATAGTGGGATTTTAGATTTAAAGGCATATATGTACATATGCCCCATCCTGACACTTACTGGGAGAGCACAGGATAACCCCCAAAAGCACACAAGCAGGATGCTGGTCTTCATAGTTGGGTGAGATGCCTCTACCTGTAATGAAGGACACAGAAGTTTTAGGCCAGACTAAAGAAATCAAGGAACTTCAACTTTTTAAGTTTCTTTCTACTTAAAAAAATCATAAAAATACCCATCAACTTATAAATTAATAAATAAGTGCATTATATCCATACAACAGAATATTATTCAGCCATAAAATAAAGCAGTGATAGATCCTACAATGTAGAGGAACCTTGAAAACATTATGCAAGTGAAATAAGCCAGACATAAAAGACCACATTTGTATGATGCCTTTTATAGGAAATGTCTAGAGACTAGATTAGTGGTTGCTCAGGCTTGGTAAGGTGGGTTGAGGAGTGATGGATAGGGGGTGCAGAATGTCTTTCACAGGTGATGTAAATCTTCTAAAAGTGATCGTGGCAAAAAGTTGAAGCTCCTTGATTTCTTTAGCCTGGTATAAAACTTCTGTGTCCTTCATTACAGGTAGAGGTACTGCACCCATCTATGCACCCAACCCAGGAAACCATATCCTTCAAGTAGGCAAAGTATGCAGTTTGCAAATTATATCTCCATAGAGCTCTTTAAAAAAATAAACTAAGACTTCACCCCTAAGAGACAAACTGAAAACTTTCAATGAGAAAGTCTAAAAACACTTCTTCACTAACACATAAAAATGTGATAAATGGGAAAAAATAAAGGAAAAGGAACAGAGAAATGTCTAGCCGTTCACTTTCACGATACTTCTGCAGCTTGGTAGGCACAGCAATCTAGCTAATCCCCCTAAACTCTCTTTTGTTGACATCATTGATAGGTGGTGGGTATTTGTGTACACACACATACACACACACACACAGGCTTCTAAGTCACATGTATAACACATAATGATGTCTAGACAAAATAAATTGTTTTTCTACTTTCTTCTTGATCTGCAAAAGATGTACTATGGCGGGCTTCATATTACAGCTCCAGAAAGCTCTTAATATCTACTGTGATACAGGTAGTCATACATTATACATGACTCTGCTAAATTCTCTTAGGCGTCATTCTCAGCACTGAAAGATCTAGGGAAGATTAGAGGGTTGGGATCCACTTGTGAATCATGCTGAAAGAGACATGCCAAATCAAACTGAATTTTTCTGAGAGGTGGCTTCATTTCACACTTCAAGAACTGGTGATTCCAAAAACAATTTGTTCTGTATCTAAAAGTAGACCTACCGGATGCTAATGTGAAAAGTTATTGAAAAGATTTAAAGGAAAATCATTTGCCCTGTACTAGAAAGCCCTAAAAGCTGATCTAAAATACTTGTCCAATGCACTTCCATAGGTATACTTTTTAAATCCTGCAAGTTGATTTCAGATTTCATATTGGCTGATTATTTTTCTTGAAACATTTAATGTATACTAAACTAGTAACAAAAGAGTCATCAAATATTCTCATCCTAGCTGTATATTAGTATCACCTAGTAAATCTTTTTAAAAATATGAATGCACAAATTCCAGAATAAAAAAATCAGTCCAGTGAGCAGAGGAATATGTTTGATTTTAACGCTTGATCTCAAAAATAAGAATTTTCTGCTCAATATCTGAATATGCTGAACCATGCCTGACACATTAAGCTCAAGAAATCATCTAATCTACTTATTGTCATTTAAGAAAATAATAGAAATCTTAAGGAGAAGGGATACTTTCATATTCAAATGGTCAAACAGAGCCTCTTATTTTATATTATTAGCATTATCCCCATTCAGAAAATTATTATTAATTTGTATTATTTTCTTTTTTCTAATTCAGTAAAAGTTACATGTTAGTTTCTATGTTTTGGTATTATTTTTATATCTTCTTAAATCCTTTGCCTATGGTCAACTAAAAAGAATACACAAAAATGACCAACTGCACCAAAAACAAGTGTAGCTCTGCATGGGCTCTCTCTGGTCCAGTGAGGAGGTCGAGAACAGGGTAGAGGAGAGTGTGGCTGTGGAGTTGCGAATCAAGACCTCAAAGACCAAGCAGGAAGCAGATCTGATTTTATTGCGCAGTTACCAATGTATATGTACTCAAGCAGCAGTTCAGCAGATTACAGGCAGTCACCAATACAATTTCTGGCCAACTGTCCTTGCAGCAACCAATTGAGGAGCAGCCATGGAGCAAGCAGAGGGACTGCAACACACGGCCTCACACCTCGGGCTATGCCTATGGGGTAAGCGGTTTGCTGCTCACATGCCTGGGTGGGGGTGTTGTTTGCCACTCAGAGGCCCTACATGTATGCCATGTATGCAATACTCCATGCACTTGTCCTCACATAGCTTAAGAGCTATCATTTCCCTTTAGTTCCCACGATAACAACATTTTAAGAGGTTTTTTTAAGATTCATTCTTCAAGAAATTAAAATTTTCCAAATATGATTTTCTCAAAATAACTACAGGCAAATGGTTTCAGCTTCACATGTCAAATGAAAGTTAGTCAACTCATCATTTTAATTTTCCAAGTGAAATTTAAACAGAATGACACCCTCATATGCTCTGAGCACTAGCACATATTCCAGGCTTGGTAAGGTGAACAACCACTAAGTTCTTTTGTAGCTTCCCTACAAGTTCTCTTTAGCTTCCCTAGTATCAAGTAATTGAAAAATAATGAGATGTCACTTTGCATCTCTTCTAAACCAGTGAATGTTGAGGGTTTTTTACTAAGGAAGTGCATGCTTCCAATGTTCAAGTTTCTCAGGAACAGAGTATTGTGAAACATAAGGAAAATGCACTAACTTGCTCAGGCTTCCAGAAATACCATGTAGCACCATGAACTAAAGCAATAATTTCCCCAGTAGAAGCTTGGTTAAGTAAAATAAAAGACACTCTACAGTCCTGAAAAAGCTGATTTTGCCTGCCAAAGAATAAGGCCCACTCTTAAGCATTAAAGAAAGTCATATTTTAAATCCTATGTTAGGTTTACAAATAGTATTTTTATAAGAATAATGGTCTTTTTGTGAGGTATAGTTCCAAATGAGAGCACCAAACTTCTATACTTTGCAGCTAGTATAGAAGCTAGTAGAAGCATATATGCCATAGCCACCTTCTGAAAAATAAATTAACAAATAGCTGCAAGCCTGAAAATTATGCATCCAGAATCCCAAGTTCTTTTTGATTGGTTGGTGTCTCTTTCACATTCTGCATGCTGTCAATCTACAGCAAGAGCATGTAACAAAAGGAAACCAATGTCCTTGACCTGAGTTCCCCTTTGTGGAACTCTTAGCCTCTCTGAAGTTAAGTTTTCCCAGAGTTGAAAAGACCCAAACAGCTGGGATCTGGAGGAGGCAATTGTGGCTTGGGTTCCAAGCTGAGGTTCTTAAGTAAGGAAACCCATTCTGTTCTGAAATTTCCTCAGAGTTAAGACTCACATGTAAAGTACAGATCTTTTCTATAAATTGGAATGAAAGAAATAGAGCAAATAAAGAAAATAAAAATTTGATTTCCCCCCTTGAAAAACAATTACATTAAATAGTTTGTTTTTTCTTAATAAACAGTGTTATCCTCAAGAATAATGGGAGGAAAAAGAATATTAGTGAACATTGTATTTATTTGTTGAGAACAGCTTAATCTGCCGGGTGCTGTTCTAGGTACTGAGTGTACAGCAATGTATAATAATAATAATAATAAACAACTGGTCTCACAGAAGTAATTTTTCTCATAATCCAACTAACCAGAACCTGCTAGATTTTTTTTTATATTTTTACTTTTGAAATAAAATGAAATTTGGTCAAGACATGAACTCTATCAGGAATTCAGAAAACCAAACAAATAAATCAATAAAAAATTACATTCTTTCATATTGTAATTCTTTTGCAGTTGAGAATTTAATGTTACGTGCCTTCAATTGCAGTGAAATAACTCAGGGGTGTCCCAAATGTAGTGTGAAGGATACTAAGTATCTGAGGCACACTGGCCCCACATAACCATTTGGAGGATGATAATAATGCTCTTTAGAAAATGCTTGTCCACATGTTTTTAATCAACAGGAGGATAATCTATGTGACCTTAGTTGAACTAAGACTTTAGCTAACCAGAAATTATTGCTCCTGAAGAGGACAGCTTGCTTGAAACATTGAAACTACGCATGGGATCTTCTAGGTGTCATGCAGAATGCATGGCCTCATCACCTCTCCCCTCTCTGATGTGGAGGACAGATACTCGTGCTATCAGTGCAGAAGTGAAGTAAATGCAGCAAGTAAAAATAACGTGCATAGTTAATACTTACATCTTCTAAACCAGAAAATGTTATTAGAGACAATCATATCCAACATTTATAGAATTCTGACTATATGCAAGGCATTATGCTAACATGAAGACCCAGCCAACCAACAGAAACACGTTGTAATTTCACACCCTTGCATCATTTCAGCGATCTTAGCACATACTTTCAATTACTTATCTAGTGTATAATAAACATTGCTGGATGCTCTCTAGATGAACAATATTAAATGGTTTTTATTTAAAGCCTATATTTTGGAAGTCCTGTCAGCCTGATTTAGATTCTTTCACATCTTCATCTCTAGGAAGCCTACATGTAAAAGTTTGTTTTGCTAATTAAAGCTAAACTTTGAAATGACCTTCCATCAGCCTCCTGTTCAGTAAACTTTCCCTTGCATAAATACTATGAACACATCTAATTAGAGCATTTCCAAAAAATAAAAAGCATCTGACTTTATTAACCCAATCCATCATTTAAATATTTCTTACTGTGGCATTAACAAGGTATAAAAGTGGGAAATGTGTTTACCCAAACTTTAGCTTTCCCCTACCTTTCTCTGTAAAGCATAATGCCCCTCAAAATACTTACACATTTAACACACAAAAGTCATTTAACACACAGCAAAAGTTACTTTTAAAATCAAATGATGAAAGAGCCTTACCCTCTTGAGTTCACAAAGTCTTTTCCAAAAAGTCTCAAAAAACCGGTTGAAGTTCTCACAGAGGAAATCTCAATGAAGCCACTCTTGTGTTGCTATTCTGAACCCTTCTCTGATGGTGCAGGAATTTAAACTCTGCTGCAGCTCTTCAGAGCCAATCAGCCTCAGGCAGGGGTAACTGACATCACAGGTGTCATGGGGACCCCATACACCCACACTTCCTCTAGCTGGAAGAGGCAGGTTTTCCCTAAAAAGCTCTTGTGGTTCCCAAATGACTAGACTAGTTTCCATTAAATTGAAGATCTTCCTAAAGCTTTATTTTGATTTCTAAATATATGTCATTCACATCCATGCAGGATTATGAACATTATAAACAATGACAATGTCTTCCGCCCACTAACAGATCCCAGTAGACCCAAGGATGGGAAAAGGAGAGTCAGAGGCGGATGCAAAGTTTCCTGTTAATGTAAATTTCCAGGTAGTACATGAGGGAAGTTACTAAAATACTAGATTTTCTTAAATTGTGGGTGTTGAGAATATGTGTTTTTGTTTCTTCTTTTTTTCCTCTTTTAACAACCACTGTTCTCTCCTTTTCCTTCACCAGGGCACAAAGACCCCAGTAATGTAAGGAAGTACATAATTTTATAGTAATTGGAAGTGTTAAAGTACCTTGCCTAATTAGCTTTTGTTTTTAACAACAACCAAAAACTACAACAACAAAAAAAGAATTTAAATCTTTTTATTACTTTAAATTTTCTTCTAAATTACTTGCCATGTTTTGGTAACACTTTGAAATCAGAACTGGATTAAGGGAAATACTAGGTGGATAGCATCCAAGTATACTAATTTTCAAGGGACTCTATGCCATCACCAGAAATGTAATGAAATGAAAGCAGTGATATTTACCAGGGAGAATACTGAAGATTGTCACAGGGATCTGAAAGTGGGTTTGGCACCAGCCTCCAAGAGCATGCTTAAGTAACAATAGGATGATCACTGATCAGATGTTTAAAGAATATAAACCAATGGACTTTCATTCCTCAGGGTAGGGATGTCTGCTCTGTTTAGGGTCTATATAGACCTGGTATCCTAATACCTAGGATAGTCTCTAGATCATAACATGCACTCAATCAGTACTTTTTGAGTGACCGAATGGATTGGTTTCAAAATTAGTTATGTTATTAGCTTGCCTGCAGTGCACATGATTCACTCATTTTTTTGTTGTTTTTATGATTATTAAAATTTTTAATTGATGCTCCTAGCAATATGAACCAAGAAAACTGGGGTGCCCAACTTTATCCATGGAACTAACACCAAATATCTGGATTGTGAACTTATTCAGTATGTACTGCACCCCTCATAGAGTGAGGAGTCCAAAAATGAGAGGAATCTATTTTCATATAGGGTTGATTAGAAGGCCAAAGTTCATATGGGGAAGCTATAAATTCCCTGTGTTCTGTTCTGGTTCTGAATTATACTCCCTGGTGGTTTTATGGGTCTTGACTGAGGTCTATCCTAGAAGAACCTTATAATCTTATGTCAGAATGGATTCTGGAAAGATTTGGGCAGAGGGTGTAACAGGACATTGTTTCAGACTCTGTCCAAATCCCCATATAAAAACAGAGGAGCAATTAGATAACAAAACTAAAACTGTTGGGCAACTTTTATAACAAAATTAGGTACATTCTGTTACCTATTGCTATATTAAGAGCCATTCCACTACTTTATATCATAACAACCAGCATCTTATCTCTCACAAATGTGTTGACAATCAGCTAGGGGCTTAACCGAGTTAGCACATTCAACATTATTCCCTCACGGAGTTGTTGTCTGGGAGCTGCTATTCCAAGCGCTTCCATTCTTTACATGCCCTGTCCTTACAGCTGAACCCTCCTACAAAATTGTGGCTGAGGCCCAAGAGTTGTCCAGAATGTCACTTTCTGCACATTCTGTTGGTCAAATCAGTCACAAGGCCATCAGAGATTCAGAAAGAAAAAAAAGTCTCTACCTCTTTATATGAGGATCGGAATGCATTATAGGAAGCTGAGGAATCGTTGAGGCCATTCTTGTAGTTAGGAACCCTCCTATATGTCAAGCTATACCCACAAACTCCCAGCAAGGTGGCTGGAAACAACCCACCAATGCAATGCCAACACAGGAACAAGCAGAGTGAAGCAACAGGATATCTAATGGTTGTGAAGAAAGGGAACCCCAAAATAGCCAATAAATATCGCTAGTATGTCAGGGACTCACGACAGCATCTGATCCGGTGCAGACTAGCCTCCTAGAATTTACAAAATTAATCCAGCACAGGCCTACCCTCCAGGACAGACCCAGGTAGAGGAGAAATTTCTGGAAGTAGAATAAGAAGTGCTCAGAATATAGACAGCAGAGAAAGCACAGGCAAGTGTGGCCAAGAGGAATGGACCCAGGATGCTTTCAAAATAAAACTGCTATTTATTTAAACACAGCATGAAAACAACAGAAGAAGCTGTGCAAAGCCAAAAAGCTACCCTAAACCACATTTCCTTCTGAAATTATAGGAACCTTCATATAAAACAAAAGAAAATAAAATCTGATGTTTAAATCCTATAGAAGATAAACAGTCTGATAAACAACCAAAGTATAGTATGATAAAAAGACACAATGAAAGTATAAATTAAAGCCATACCTTTTATTTTTAAAACAGCAAAAGAAAATGACACAATGCATGAAAAAATCACCATAAATGGAAGAATAACTCAGAAATGAAGTGTAAGATATCAGGAAACAACTTAAAATAAAATAAAAATATTCTAGAAATAAAAACTATTCCAGAAAGAATGCAAAAGGGAATGAACACAACAAATAAATTCTAAAGAGAAATAGATGTCAAAAAACTAAGGAAAACATTTTAAATTTAAAAGAAATGAAGAAATAAAATATTCAGGAGAAAATGACATAAATTGAGCATGGGCAAAGGAGGAGCACATTCAGATAATAGAAATTCTAAGAAGGTTTTTCTCAAAGTAAAGGAATAGCAGGAATACGAAAAACAAAATACAAATCTAATTCAGGGAAGCTTCCCTGAATTAAAGAGATCTAAAACTCACATTTCATGATCATGCCATGCCCCTGCAAATATATAATCAAACAAAATTACTGGATTTTTAAGAGAAAGAAAGTTGTTCTCTGCTCCTATGCAAAGACAGCATGTAATTCATAAGGAAAAGGAAATTAGGTTATCATTTTGCTTTTTGACAGGTATGCTTTTTCCCAGAGAAAATGGGATAATATATTTAAGACATTCGAGATAAGAAAATGTGTCCAAGAATTTCATAGTCAATAAAACCAACTTTCAAGTATCCTGAGCTGAAAGAAACCATTATCAACATGCTGACACTCAAAAAATATCATTTCTGACAAATTTTATTTATTTATTTATTTATTTATTTATTTTTATGTATATATACCACATTTTTTTTTAAATTTTTTATTGTTGGCTGTTCAAAACATTACATAGTTCTTGATATATCATATTTCACAATTTGATTCAAGTGGGTTATGAGCTCCCATTTTTACCCCATATACAGATTGCAGAATCACATCAGTTACACATCCATTGATTTACATATTGCCATACTAGTGTCTGTTGTATTCTGCTGCCTTTCCTATCCTCTACTATCCCCCCTCCCCTCCCCTCCCCTCCCCTCTTCTCTCTCTGCTCCCTCTACTGAGATTCATTTGTCCCCCTTATATTATTTTTCCCCTTCCCCTCACTTCCTCTTGTATGTACTTTTGTATAACTCTGAGGGTCTCCTTCCATTTCCATGCATTTTCCCTTCTCTCTCCCTTTCCCTCCCACCTCTCATCCCTGTTTAATGTTAATCTTCTTCTCATGCTCTTCGACCCTACTCTGTTCTTAGTTACTCTCCTTATATCAAAGAAGACATTTGGCATTTGTTTTTTAGGGATTGTCTAGCTTCACTTAGCATAATCTGCTCTAATGCCATCCATTTCCCTGTAAATTCTATGATTTTGTCATTTTTTAATGCAGAGTAATACTCCATTGTGTATAAATGCCACATTTTTTTATCCATTCATCCATTGAAGGGCATCTAGGTTGGTTCCACAGTCTAGCTATTGTGAATTGTGCTGCTATGAACATCGATGTAGCAGTGTCCCTGTAGCATGCTCTTTTTAGGTCTTTAGGGAATAGACCGAGAAGGGGAATAGCTGGGTCAAATGGTGGCTCCATTCCCAGCTTTCCAAGAAATCTCCATACTGCTTTCCAAATTGGCTGCACCAATTTGCAGTCCCACCAGCAATGTACAAGTGTACCCTTTTCCCCACATCCTCGCCAGCACTTGTTGTTGTTTGACTTCATAATGGCTGCCAATCTAACTGGAGTGAGATGGTATCTTAGGGTGGTTTTGATTTGCATTTCTCTGACTGCTAGAGATGGTGAGCATTTTTTCATGTACTTGTTGATTGATTGTATGTCCTCCTCTGAGAAGTGTCTGTTCAGGTCCTTGGCCCATTTGTTGATTGGGTTGTTTGTTCTCTTATTGTCTAATTTTTTGAGTTCTTTGTATACTCTGGATATTAGGGCTCTATCTGAAGTGTGAGGAGTAAAGATTTGTTCCCAGGATGTAGGCTCTCTATTTACCTCTCTTATTGTATCTTTTGCTGAGAAAAAACTTTTTAGTTTGAGTAAGTCCCATTTGTTGATTCTAGTTATTAACTTTTGTGCTATGGGTGTCCTATTGAGGAATTTGGAGCCCGACCCCACAGTATGTAGATCGTAGCCAACTTTTTCTTCTATCAGACGGCGTGTCTCTGATTTGATATCAAGCTCCTTGATCCATTTTGAATTAACTTTTGTGCATGGCGAGAGAAAGGGATTCAGTTTCATTTTGTTGCATATGGATTTCCAGTTTTCCCAGCACCATTTGTTGAAGATGCTATCCTTCCTCCATTGCATGCTTTTAGCCCCTTTATCAAATATAAGATAGTTGTAGTTTTGTGGATTGGTTTCTGTGTCCTCTATTCTGTACCATTGGTCCACCCGCCTGTTTTGGTACCAGTATCATGCTGTTTTTGTTACTATTGCTCTG